AACGTAACGACGAGAAAAAATCACCAATAACAACCGCTACGACCGGAACGGGAATATCTAGATGTGCTCTTCGCAGTATCCTAGCACTTTTATCTTGGCAAATATGGAACATAGATAGGGTACATGCCAGGACTAATACTTGACGAGCATAAAAAGTGTGAGTTACTCATTTCAGTGCATCTATGCTGGTATCGCACTATTTTTAATAGTGACTAACGCGAAACGATTGCGAGATTGCCAACGTAACGGAGAGCGGACAGAGGTGGCAATAACGCATGTCGTTGCTATCAAGATTGTGCACAGTTTGCGATAATAATTCAATCTCTCTACACGTTCCATTCTAATAAGAATGGTATACAGTATAATTATTTCATATTTAAGGTTCTCTATTTAATAAGGAAAATACTTTTCACTTTCAACTTTCATTAACTTGTGTCTTTTACAATCCGGGACGACTCGTTGTCCTCATCATATGTACCGCTCACGTAATCTTAGTCGACGGGACACTTATTTTCATAAACGCGTGAGTTTGTACACACGAAATTCGCGGACGATCCTAGTGCAAGTAATGCATATTCTCACCCGCGCTAATGCAACATGCATCTTACATACATGGAACGTGTAGTGAATCTTGCAGCTAGTTGTACACTCCTAGCTGCACCCGCGAATTATGCATCTCAGAATTTCGCGAATAATTGACTTCCTCATTTCCCGTTTTGCTCGATTTCGCGAAAGCAAGAGCTTCTCATTTACTGACTTCAATGTGTAAGGGATTTCACATGTTTTCGCCATTTCCAAGATGGCATGATTAATCAAAATTTCAATTACTTATAATTTATTATTTCAGTGAATAAAATTATATTTAACGTGAGAATTTAAATTGCGAAACTGTAACGATTGATGAAATTCTTGGAGTTGTAACTGTTAATATTATTGTGACGATTAAGTCGGTAAAAACACGTGAGATTAGCCACCATCCAGCGAACTAATGTATTACAGTTTGGGATTAAACGTTACGTACCGATTATGTAAGTCGGTGCTTATATATCCTATGTAATGAGAATCATATTTCCGTAACCGTTCGAGGAAATGTAACTTATGACGGAACACTTTTTATGTAACCTTTCTTTTTTATTTCTCATCTGCGTCAGAATCCTTGATAGAATCGCCACGCTCTCCTAACAAAAGTTAATTTCCTATTCGTTAAAGGGCCACATATGCATTTACTAATTCCCTATGATCTTGTTACTTCAAAGGACCTCTGCCGATCCGTAAGAGCAGGAGGAATCGTTCATAGAAATTCCATTGACTGATTTTGCTCTAGAAATGGATACCTATTGTCCCAAGGGTCACCACGACATTGTCATCTGGCCCTCAGGGGTCATCATATCGCCACCAAGTTGCCAACGGCATAAACGGAGGTACTGGGACCGGTAAAGGGATATACATACCACCATAGAACCACCCCATTGCGGTACGAGTCACAAAGACGATCCCTTACGTGCACCCCGGTAGATCCACCTCAAAGACTTTATTATCCGGAACTGTCAGCGAGACGACTCTTTGTGATCGTTCACGAAGTTATATTTTACTTGTATATAGTTGTCGGCGGTCACGCCAACGAAGCGTTCCATGTCTGCGCATGCGCGGGTCTGCATGGGTCATTACGCCATATCGATGTCCGAATTTATATGAACATTAAGATACCACAAGTGAGGTGTCGGAATACCAGAACATCAAAGACAATTAAGAAGAAACGCATATTTCAAGAACGATCCAAACTCTAAATTCAGATCTAAGAATAATTCCTTTAATACAGGCCTTATCAATTTATTTCAGGGACGTACGAGTTTAACACCCTTTAATACAGAAACGGACACAATGAATCAGCTCCCATTAATTTTTATTCCTGTAAGAAAAAGGAAGTTTTATTAACAATTCGGTCACGATTAACGTGCATACAAGTAAACAACAAAATTGAAATCCAATAACGTTTTCCTTCTCTTGTTTTACGTTTACCAATTTGGGAGCATATATAGTTGAATCACGTAATATTCTTTTTGTCAAAATACCCCGGTCATACGGAGAAATTCTTTCTGCTATAGCATTATTTTCGTTTTTTGTGGAACCGTGCAAAATTAAGGATAAATTTTCAAAGTATTCGGTTCAGTCCTGTTGGTCGATGCCTGTTATGTCGAGGTTCCTCGTGTTCGTGGCCTCTCACAGGACAACACGCATGGAACGATTTTACGCACGAGGTTCGGTCGAACGGTGCGTTCGTATTTGGCGCAGGGCGTATCGTACCGGACTCGTACATTACGCCCGGACGTAGAGTGTACATCGCACCGTGTGCCGATATTTATAGATGCACGGGGCACTCTACGCTCTGTACAAATTTACACATGCATGGGGCTACTCAATTTGTAATCATGAGCAAACGTGCCTCCGCATACGTAGGCCGTGCCTGCACGCGATTGAGCTTATGCGCGTACCTTGTATGCGCTGCATGTGACTGAATGCGTGCAACTTGGTGTAACGTACGTGTCAAAGGACAACCGTACTCGTGAGAATAACGAGTCCGGCAGAGGTCGCTGGGGACAGTCAGATCATTGCGGCAAATCTGACGATCTCTTTTGGCCCTAATTCGATCGCCCCTCGAACGGTTTAATCAGTAATCCCTTGCATTGCTGGTACGTTCTTCAATAGATACATACCGTTCTGCACGCTTAAACCGTCCCGATTCCGTTTTAAAAAGAATATAAAATGACACTAATGATGTAATTTATGTAATTCATCGATGTTGTATTAATGCGAATATTTCTTTTGTGGTTTAATAATGGTAGCGGTCATGATTATAGAAAAAGAGGTGGAGATAAGGAACTACAGATGGGATTATCTCTTCTAGAGGATTTTTGATAAACTTGTAAATCCAACCTTTTTTCTAAAGAGAAAGTATATCATGCGTGTGGAAGTATTAAAATTATTTAGACAATTTTGTAAATTACATAACTAACGGTGGCCCCTTTGGCGAGGGTCGTCTCCTGCGGTTTTGGCTCAGATTATTCCGAGCTAATTTGTACGGCAAGAGGTTAATAAAAGGTCTTATAGAGATTCCACAATTAACTATGTGCAGAGATGGGCGTACATGTATCGCGTAAATTATATGTGTATGTGTATATATATCCGTGAAATTTTATAAAGAGCACGTATATCTACTTCAATGACTGAAACCCTTTTTTATATTCGAAAAATTGGAACTGGATTGTCCTACTTCTGTAAATTTCAGGTACGAAGGAAAAGTTCAGAGGATGCAAGCTGATTAAATGGTTGAGCTACTATGCCGTTTGCTGATGTTTCGATAATGTACTAATAACCGTGCTAATCGCTAGTTCATGGAGATAGGCATCTTAATCCTTTGGGATTTTCTCGGAACGGGTCTTATCTGGATATCCGGCGTTTCCCTCCGAGAAATGGAGAGTAAAGAAAACCATTTCCATTCAGTTATTGGCCTACATCGTTTATCCTTTTTTGTATGTGCACGTAAGGCGAATCCAGATGCGTCTTCTCGATAGGATTAGTTAATTAAGGTCGCATCTTCAAGAGCTAGCTACAATAAATGAAGCGGTTTGAAGAACTGCAGCACTACTCGAGACATTTATTTCCTTCGCGTATCGGGGTCAGAGCGGTAACCTCCAATAGTGTCATATCAATTTTATAAATCTGCAAAAACCCACACTTAAATGTAACAACTCAGAGACGTTTATAACGCTCAGTGGAACATCGGAGAAATAAAACATATAGCAAACATTTTCATAATACTACTCTGTATTATAAATGTATTTGACATAAGTCAAAAAGAATATTAACCGCAATAGAGCAACACACAAAGCCAACGACTCATTGCTGCTGTAAACGTTCAAAATAAATCGATCATTCCAAATTCCACGTATCTTATAATAAACATAAAAATAATAATAACTAGTATTCGCAGTTCAAACAGAAAAACTCCAAATATTGCTAGGTTGAAGTTCAGCATTTCAGAACTTTACACAATTCAGAATTTATTCATTATACAGGAAATTGAAATATAAATCGTAAAAAGTTTGAAGACTGGATGCCTCAACGTCGAAATTTCCACTCGAAAGTTTAAAACGGAGCTGTTCTAATCTTAAGCAGGACCGAGGAGATTTGATGCCTCGGGCCGGTCCTAATTGTGGAGGTGGTCCGGTGCCTCGCGTGTATCTTGTCTTTAAAGATGCCTTTGCTCGACGATGCCCTTAGACCAGAGCTCCATTTAGAACCCTTGGATGCAGCTCCGGTCCCGACCCTCAGCCAAATGCTCCGAAAGGAAAATATCAACTAGCCGGTACAGAGTATACCGTGTAAATTCTGAATAATGCATCACCAGCCTTCCGTATTCTCGATCGGCCGCAACCGACGAATCTTTCGATTGCTCGGGAGCGCTGGTACTCAAGGTTAGGAGCGTTTAGCAAACCCATCCATCGGCTTTCTTTATTTTGCGGTAACTGCCTGGAAACCGCACACCCCAGACCGGGGGACGTCACCGTAAAGACGTGCCCTGTTTGTGAAAAGATGCACGGATACGGGTACTACATAATTCTGAACGAATAAATATTTATATAAGGAGCGGGATAATCGGCAGGGAAAAAACATTTTGTAGAACCGTTTAGTTTCCACGGTCTTCGAAGAAGTATCGATGAATGCTCCAGTTCCGAAGGAAATTCGACAGACCTTAGGTTTGAAGAACACTTAATCGAATGAACGAAGCAAAACCCGACCCAAAGTCATTAGGATCTTCTGAAAACGGATTATCCAGCACGTCTTGGAGCGGCTTAGCACCTTCGTATCGGGATGCCGTCTAGACGTTTCGTTAAGGCGCGTATACCGGAACAGCCGGTCATAAATGAGTAAAAGCGTTATATAGCGGGCAAGGAGCGCCCCGGCAACGCTTGTCTGCTTTCAGAAGATAAGGAAGCTTTTTGCTCCTTTCCGCGCCGGCGTGTCGGTGCAGCGTACCCACGCGCGGACACTGGGCCACGTGGACGTTTGCGTGGGCGCTCTTCGAGGCATTTAGTCGAGGTCGGAGCTATCACCTGCGACATCGCGGCCAGCGTTTCGAGAACCACCGAAAGCACTCGACGATTCTCGGAGAAGATCGGCCAGGGTGGTTCCCGGGTGAACGAGGGGAAAGCGAGGACCGGCGTACATCGCCGTCTTGAAATGCCCCTCGCTCAACGAGAAGAGTTATCTCCGAGAGGAGGCTGTGAGTGATCTACTCTTCTTCCGCGGTATAAGGAGTTAAGGAGTTAACTGCCGTCACTTTGACGCCAGACTTCCACTTAACTCAAAAGCAGCCAGGCAATATGCCAGTGTACGTAAAGCTTAATTCGAGTTACCATGCTCCGCAAGGTCGGGAACGTTGGCTTGATAAGCGTTTTTCACAATTGAGGCGGTTAAGCAGCCGAGACGTAAGTTACGAACCTAACAAGTTGGAATGTTCTTTCTCTGTGAGGTGAGTAATTTCCTAAAGTGTACAAAGGAAATTAGTAGATTAAACGGCGAGGCCCTTTCGTACAAGAAATAGAATATTTGGTAGAAAGAGGAAGTAATTAAAATCTAGTTCCATGTTTCTTCACGTTATAGAGGGGAGTTATTTATGAGAATCTTCATGAGTGGTAATTTCAAATTTCGAACGTTTAGTTAAGAGGCTTAATTTGTTTCATGATCATCCGTTAAGTTATCGTTTTGATGTTACATAATCGTACGAGTAGCCATGTATGATCTGGGAAGAACTTGTCAAAATTGTGAAGAAAAGGTTTCTGCTAACCATTGTGAACTGGCTGTACGTGAGAAATAAACGGTAACACGCAGTAAAGGTAAGACGCGCGTAACTTTGGTGCCTACAGTTGCGAAAACGGGTCGAGATGGACGATAAAGAAATCGAATGATTCTCACACGTAAGTGGAATCTACCACAACTCAAACTATCCTTTTAAGGGAAACGTATATCTTCGCTCACGCGTAACCCTACAATTTCCAACGGCCTCATAATTCTCTGGCATCCTGAAAAGTCGAGAGCACTGTATAATATGAATCCGAATTTAACTTCTATAAAATATTTGGTAGGCAACTAAATGGTTGCGGATTTTGTCTATTAGCGGTATTAAAAAATCCGCAATCACTTAGTCGCCAACCCAAAGAAAAATAATACAAGACTTCCTGTAATTCTACGCAACAACTTGTTTACAAGCAGGAAGACGTCTATTTATATCAATTACCACCAATAATTACTGTAAAGCCATTCGATATCAGAGCATTGTTAATTCCTCATCATATATCTGCTTTTCATTTGACACATTAACCGTTTGAGTCCCAGGCAGCGCGATTGCGCTGTTCAGATTTTATGTCGCTCAGATTCACTGATCTAAGTACATTACATAGCTCCTTCTTTTAACCTCTTAACTTACAATATCATGTGAAAGACGTGGTAAATCAATCGGGCCAAACGTGAACAAAACGTGTGAGAGACGTGGTATGTCAATCGGGCTAAATGTAAACAAACCGTATGAGAAGTTACGTTCAGCCAAACCGTGAAATGGACCGATGTATGACCGACACTTTTGTTGTTTATGGCACGCGCTATTGGAATTTAAATCGTAACGCAAGGGTGTAAATAATACATCTTACAATTCAAGAAACGCTATCGCGCCGAGTGGGATCCATCGACAGAAAATAAACAAAGCGCTATCGAGCTGCTTGGGTCTTCTCGTACTCATTTAGAGAAAGCGCGGTTGCGCTGTTCGGGATTCTTCGACAGTGTTTTTTCAATATCCCCTAGGACTGAAACGGTTAATTTACCGTGAAGCAGGGATGATCATATAAGAAGCATCAATGTCGCGATGTACAAAAACACAATTTACTAAGATTAAAAACTCTCTTTGCTTAACTTAATCCCTTCTCGATGAACGCGTTTTCTCTATGGAATGGCAGATCGCTGTCCTGTAAGTGCCCAAAATATTTATATTTTTTCATTTTTAGTTTTATCCTTTCTTAGAAAAATCCAACGATCGATGTACTCCGGACGACGTGAGGTTGCGGTCAGACGATTTTCCGAGACACTCGGCCAGAGTATCGAAAAGTCTTTTGACAAAAGAACCGCATCAATTCAAGATTGGATCCCGAGTGGTGTGGGGCGTGCGCCTGAGCGACAAGATCATCCTTCAGCGCGTGTCCGAAACTGGTAGAACCGGTAAGTACGTGCGGATCGCATCGACGCTCATAGATCGATCGGTAAACTCGGTTCATTCGGTAGACCTCCAGGTTTACTTCGATCCCGTTCTCGCAGAGTACCCACGAGACAGCAGTGGACTCTCCCGATCGACCCCCTGACTTCCCTTGGCATAGTTAAACGAGTGCGATCTCCCTCTCGTTGGAAATGCATTTGATAAATAGGTCGACGTAACTCGTGCTTTGGGGAGCAAAGTACCGTGAAAAGCCGAGCTCGCGCGACATTACGCTACGCGAAGAGAACTAATTAAAGCTGATCAGCGACGTAACTCTAGCTGGTAAACCGATGTTTACTCGACGAACAAATTGACCGCAACAGTTACTAAAATTGGCGTCTTTCTTATTCTTCGAGGTACGGATAAACGGCTGAAAGGTTCAATTTTAACCGGGTAGATTGTACGACGAAGTCGAGAAATTTCATCCTAAGGATGATGAATTCGATCGTTTTGGGGCTGACCTTGACTCGGGAACGCTGATGGTTCGGAGACGTGGCAGCACTTCGACGTTAAGTACTGCATTGTACGTCGGCTATTCGTATATAGTGTATTAAACGTGTCTTTACCTTCCATAAAGCGGACAGGTAAATGGTAGCTCATTTTCCCGTAAATCAAAGCAGTCTTCGCAACGTTATCTCGACAACATCAGCGTCGAAATAATGACGCTGCCTGGTAGCAGCCATAACAGTCGGATCGACTGGAGAAACCAGAATTGATCAGCGGAGCTTTTAGTTATTCCGCTGCGTGTTGTAGTTTCTGGCGGCTTTCTAATCTACGGAGCCATGCAAAAGTACCGGAGAGTCGGATACCGCGGCTCGACGTCAAGGGACACTGCCAGGAGTAATCACTGAATATCCAGGACAACCGCAATAATGTCTTCGGAAGTATCACGCTAAACGCTCCCTATTCTTATGTACTTAAGAAAAAATCATTTAAACGTAAAGGAGACCGATAAACGAGAGCTCATTTGCACGTCAATCAAAGCAGCCCTAGCGGCAGTGCCTTAACGATATCAGAATAATGGGCTTTCTAATCTCTAGAGACATGCAACAGCCGGGAACAGCCGGCAAAGCTTGGCAATGGATTTGATTCCGAAAGGCGCAATAAAGACCAAGTGGCGTTTGAACAACAGTATTGTATTTATTTATACGCACATGTATCAACGATATCTACACGGACCATGAAATCTATATACCGACAACAGTAGCGAATTTCTGTGTAAAGCAAAATCAGTCATCTCAGTCGTACCATTTTTAATGGTATTGGTAAAAAGTCAGGTACAGGTAGGACATTGACGGTCCCATCAAACGGTCCCATCTCCGATGCACGCGGCAGCCCGAAAATGACTTTCTAATCTACAGGGAAGGGCAACTCTCGGCAACGTTAAACGTGGGGGACGACCGAGGAGGCCCTAGCTGGGTCCGATGACGTCAAGCCAAGGTGACGTCTACGTGACGAAGGGTCCACCGACGATGTCCTCGGCGAAGGGACGACCTTCGCGCAAGTGGGATACGTATGCGTTCGGAAGGGACGAGACGAAGAGGAATGGGTCCCTGTTCTCCTCGTCTCCATTTCTCCCGCTCCTTCGCGTCACCTCGCGGTCGGGTCTCTTTCTCTCTTTCTCTGGGTCTCCCCTGTAATGTTCCACTCGTCGACCGGCTACGACGGCCGGTCGGGAGGGGGATCGGGGGAGAGAAAAGGGCGGAGGAGAGGAGCAAAGAGGGATGTTATTCTCCTTGCAGAGCGCATCATTCGAGAAACGAGTTTCTCCCTGCCTCGCTCTTGCTCTTCCTCTTCGTCCCTCTCGCTTTCTCTCTCTCTCTCTCTCGGAGCGGAGAGCGCGTTATCGAGAACCATAAACAGCTACCAGGGTATATACTCGATGGTACACACTCGGGGCAACCCGTGGCGCACATGCTCGCTTGCATTCACGAACGTCCGTAGAGAAAGCAGAGGAACACTTAGGAGTCCGCGTATTTCGTGCACGTGCACGCCCGTGCAGTCGACCGACTTGCACGTGCAACCTTTTCCTACTCCCACGACCGCGTCGCGAATTCGCGAACGTTGACGGCGGGGTAAACTACCTATTGCTCGTATCTTTTTTCTTCGTGGGCTCGAGATAAAGTATCTTCGGTTCTGCCCTGACTTAACGGGAGAACCAGGACCGTGTTCTTCTTTTGGAACGGGAGGACGATTGTTTTAAAATTATTTACTCGCATCATTCCCAGCGAAAGGCGCAGAAAACTACTTTTCGATTAGGTTTAAACGCCGCAGTTAGATCTTGAACCGTCTTTATAATTTATTTAAAAACGACATGGTCCCATGGGTCATCGATTGATAACAAGAGGTTATTAGATAAGACTTTCTAAATTGTTACGTCTGTTTTGTACGCTTCACGTAATTTCGTTGCTCTTACCGACTCGAGCTAATTCGCCCGTGCGCGTGCTGCAATAGAAACGCGACGAGTTGGCACGCCAATTGAATGCATGTATATTCATGTGAATACAATGGAGGCACACGCTTTGTGCATAGTTATATAAAGACACAAAGTAACATAAAGACCAAGGCGGCCGCTGCATTCAAGCGTGGGCCATCGCTCAACACTTGTGCGTGCAAACGTGCACATCCCGGAGCGTAGGAGCCACAGGGGCCAGCAGCTCGCTAAAAAATTCAGCAAAGGGAGGGTTTACCTTCTCTTAAAATTCTTAAGAGAGGGTCTGAACCTGGCAATTATGCGTTAATGGTATAGAAAAAAAGTCATGCGAACGGAAGGGAGTTTTGCAGGCTTGAAAACCTACGGACCTAAATGTTACATTTCCGAGAAGGACGGTATCAATTTTCTTCGTGCCTAGTGTCGAAGCGTCGCGTTTCTTTCCGGCTTCGAGAAAGTTCAGGCAGCGTTAGCAGATATAACCCTTAATAAATTGTATTCATTTAACGACATTTTCGAGGTGTGTCGGGGTGCAAAAATACGTATCGAGATGGGGGAGAAAATTTACGGAAGGGTAAAGAAAATCCGTTACGGGACGAAAGAAAGAGGCTCGTCTGGTTTGCAGTAAAATTTTTCCAAATTTTCCATTGGATCGAGTTACGTGGGGAAAAGCCTAGACCCTTCCGAATCTTCTACCTGAAAGAAATTGGATCCCGTGGCCCCTAGCTCGAAATAAATCTGTCTTGATCCTTAGGAGCCTTAGGTATACGCCTGAAGGAATAAGAGCCGTCAGTTTTGTGCACTGGAAGGGAAAACCAAGACTCGGCAAGAAAACGTGCCGCGGAATAACATAATAACAGCCATTATTCATAGGAAAAAAAATATTGCCTACCTCTCTAAAATCCGGCCTCGACAGCCTCCCGACATAATTACTGGGCTAGTTTCGACTTAATCAGCGATCATTTCCAATTCAACGCGGAGGTGCCATTAAAATCTGAAAAATGTGATGCCGGAGAAGATAGCTTTGCTTTATCAGTAACTATCGAGATACGAGGAGCTCGGAACAATAATGCGCTACTGCCGAAGCATTTGGAGCACACGGTAGCCTATTGTTGCGGTAATGGGTTCATGTGAATTTCATATTGTTAGCCAACTGTAATTGCCAGACATCAACGGAACGCAATCCTACTTCCAATTATAAAAGTCAATTCGCCCTAGCCTCGAAGAAGTTCCCGAAATGTTTTCCTCGGGAATTTAAGACGAATGAGAAACTTGACCACAAGAGTAATGGACCAAAGTTTACTTGTTACCTGGAAGGAACCCCCGGGTCCTACCGTGAGTCCTCAAAATAAATCTGCTTGACCCTTTAGGACCTGCATAGGACAAGCGGAAACCTGTTCCGCCAGGCACTTTCCAGGAAATCCCTTAGAATTTCTAGCTACCAGGCCTATCCCTAACGTCCTTCCCTGCGCCCCCTCTCCCCTCTTTGTGTCCCTTTTTAGACAGGTACCGTGACGTCACGACCTTCCTCCCTGCCCTCGTCCTTCCCCTCGGGTTTTTAGGGCCTCGGCGTGTGGGTCCTAAGAAACCTCGGTTCCCCGCAGCCATCGCCGTCCCTCTCCGAGCGAAGGGCTTCTTTTTAGGAGTAACACGGTAGTCCTCTCCGCTGACTCTCCAAGAGGACCAAAAATACTCGCCCCTCGTGCTTATGCTTATGCTTAAGTTGCCTTTAAGGGCCTCACCAACGTCCTCGAGACCTGTCCGATCGATCCTGGCCGGAATGACGGCACAATAGCGGTTGAGAAAATCTCAATGCTGTCGAGAAATACGAATGCATCGGCGGGGCGTAATACGGTGGTGGATTGGAGCAGTGATTCTCAAAAGGCTCGGGTCTATTATTATGCTAAACCAGCCTGGTTAACACCAGAGATGCGGGTCAGCTGACGAATGAAAAGGAATCTGTCAAGGTCGGGCGTTGGAACGAATTTACATCCCTAAAAATCAGACCACGATTCGATGCGGATTTCGGCATTCTTTGTTAGGCTTGAAGGAAATGGGGATGCAAATGAAATAAAAGAATATATTGGAAATTTGCGAAAACGGGGTCAGTTTTAACTCGGAAGTTCTAAGATTAGGTCCTATAACGTGATAGGAATAAGTATCGATAGAAAATCGAAACATTTAAGTTAAACGGTTAATATACATAAAGAATAATACTGGTAATAGAAAAGCAATGTTATATGTATTTAAACATCATTTCTATAGATCTGGCTAGTGAGGCAACAAGCTGGGTCTCTAAATAGAACATGGCCATAAGGTTAAGGGTGTCAGGGACATTTTGAGCGATACTTCAAACTGTTTTCACCAACACTCCGAAGGTCATCGAAAACTCGAGGCAGACATCATTGTCAAGGGGCTCAATGAATTTAAAACAATGCCAAGTAAGCTGCGAGACTTTTCGTTAACTGCTCGCGTGAGTCTTTACGGGCATTCGATAAATAGATTATGTTAAATGCTCATTCTTCCTAAGATATA